GTCAAAACACCAATGTTAGAAAACACAACTCTATCACAAGGTTAAAACCAAATTATCTCAAATCTAAAAACAAGATTTGCTCTGAACAAGAATCTGAAATTGAAACCTCTGAAAAACACTCTTGTCTTCAAATTGAAGAAACCTAAGACAAAAAAAAACACTCTAACACATAATCCGAACCAGAACCAGCTCAACTCAATTGAATTATTTTTATTAATTCTGCTTAGTTGATAAGTTTTGAAATTTTCAAAAAAATAAAAAAGTCAAAAATTTAGAATCATTTTTCATTTTCATTTTAACTGATTAATATCATTGAGTTTATTTCAATCAATTGTTACAATATCTTAAATTTGAAAAAAAAACATATTTTTAATAAAATAGTGTTTGTAAAAACATAGTTTTAATAAAATATTGGTTGTAGAAACATATTTTTGGACAATTTAGAGATAGCAAAAATTATATTCTTTCCATTTAGATGAGATGAAAGTATTATATCTCTTCAATTGCATGGACTTGTAACAAAACAATACCAAAGAATCAAAAAATCTACTTCAAACACAAAAGAACATAAGAAAACATATGCAAGTAGATTTGACGCCAACAATTCATGGTTTGCCTTTGGCTACGTCCACGATCAAATGACGTTCTACTAAAAATCTTCTCTCAGTTTCATTTTCACCTTGAGATGACAGGGAACGATTGAGCAGTCACTGCTTTGATCTTTCACCTATTCGCATAAAGCTCCAACCTCCTCTATCATTCACATCGTCAACGATCTTGGCCGAGAAAAAACTGGAGTCTCCTCTTACTCGGAATTTAAATATTCTTCCTAGTTCGTCGAATTCTAATGGAGCAGGAACGAGATAAAATGTAGCTCAAGTTGATTGTAGTTCAAGCACAAGAAAAACAAAAAACGCTATGATACGAATTGTAACAAGAAAACACAAGAAAACCAAAAGATCTCCAAACGCAAGCATAAAAGAACATACAAAATCATATGCATGCAGATTCGACAACAAGAATATGTGGTTCGCCTTTGTGTACATACACTAAAGATTTCACATGTACTAAAGTACTTCATGAAGTTTTATAGACAAAATCCAAAGCAATGTTCGAGGCTAGTTGCGTCTCACCTTCATATGTATTTTGTAGTAGACACACGTTAACCTATAAAAATACCCTAAATTCGGGTTAACTTTATTTACCTTTGACTTGATATATCACTAACAATACTCACATACTTGATATTAAGAATGTAGAAACTATAAAGCATTGGAACATATTTAACACTCTACTTTTAATATCTTAGATAACATAAATTAGTACTAACGAGAATTTCAATTAAATTGAAATTGTTATATCAGCTCTGAAGTGTCACATACAAAACTACTTGTAGACACTCATTTTATGAAATTTGTATCTACCTCATCCATGTAGAGAAGATACCTAGTAAGAGGTAAAATGCATGATCCACAAACATGCATACTTAAAATTCATATAGTACAAGTAACTTGCATTGATGTATAGTAAACCTTTAGTCTAATCAATGAACAAAGAGAACAAGTACAAATTTTTTTGTCATGACACTTGGGATCAAGTTTATCTAGTCTTTTTTCAAAACATTAAAAACATACTTCACATCCTTTGCATTGATATGAATGATCATAATTAAATACTAAAATGATTGCAATCATAAAACACAATGATTTTCTACCAAAAGATAATCAAGAAAAGGTAAATCAATCATTTTTTTATTTGTTAGTATCTTTTTTTGTTTATGTATCTTTTCACTTGAGTGATATGATGATAATTTATCATCCATTTATAATAAAAACTTCTTCCACATCAAAAAAATTAAGTTCAACCTTTGATTTGAACCTTGTCACATGATATCAACAAAGTACATAATACTTTTCTTTTTCTCAAACTTATTATTATATGTGATGTGCAAGACTCAATACATTAGTCATATGCCTAAATGTCTAATCTGAAGTAAATTAGGCACAAGTTTATAATTATGTTAGACATAACCACTGAAAAAACCTCAAATATAGTGATATATAAATGTTTTATTGCTTCATCGTGCGCAGAATGTCATATTGTTTGCATCGGAAAAATCATTTTTGAGAAAACTCAGTCAATGACATATTGAATGCATACTTTTGGAATTTCAACATCAAAAAATGATGTGTTGGAGAACAGTGAGCTTAAGCGGCCAACACAGTCTACCACAAAATTGAAATAGTCTACCAGACAGGATTGTGTACACGCATTGTCAAACAAACACTAGTGCTCATAGGAATACATGATTTTTTCACAGGCTAAGACATTCAACTACATGGTGCAATGCTCTACAAATGGATATCCAATTTTATCAATATCGGAGTAAGACCAACTAAAAGCAATACAAGACTTCTGTTAAATAATAAGGCGACTGATATCACGAGCTTTAAACTTCACTAGTTCAAATTGGTAGACAATTGAGATCATTGCTAGAGCCGTGTTCATCTCGAATTGCTACGCAATCCATAAATTTGTCGAAGATGTCCAAAATAAAGACTGCAATGTTCAAAAAATAAGCATCCAAGTCGAATCTATGAGACTGTTGATCGTCATCAAAGAAAAATGATCAAAATCTTCAATGAAGCATGTGATGCTAATGTATGAAACCGACCAATCGTTGCCCATGTCATGAATGAATTCGTTTAGATTTTCAACGTCGTAGTTACAAAATGCACCTATAATAAGTATTAACTCACCAATCAACCGTTAAACTGAAATTTTATTATTGGCTGAACTTTAAACCATAACCTTGGAGTCTCATCAACGTGGTGTATATGGCACTTGTGACGGCATTTAGTATACATAAGACGTCACTCTCATAAGAACCTATTGAAATTTCGGAATATCGGACATTGATCTAGTGACAATGGTCATCGAGCCAATTTGTGGCACTCAACATAACGTGCCATCAAGTTGCAAATGTTTTGATACAAGTCGACTTCATCTTGCAAACAAGCTTTTGCGGTTGTCGCGGATGCAAAATCATAGATATCAATGTATCACCATTGAGCTTCAAGTATGTTTACTATATGAAAATGTCCAATTGATGAAGAAGACATCACACATGAATAAATCCTTTTAGTGAACACTGTTCCATATGTGTGATAATACCAACAATATAACTAGTCATGTTTTGAACTTCGTCACACAATGCATCTATTAATTGATATTTTCAGTTGGGAAAGAGTACATCAAATAATTTGCACAAGATTTCAAACTATGACAAACTAGTATGATACATTTAAAAAAATCTGAAGTGTAAATAATAGAGCTGGTGGCGTCAAACATCAATGTATGAGATACCCATGCAAGTGTAGACATCCATAACAATCGAGAAAGCTCACACCATGTAGAGTATGTTAGCAATAATATGGAAATTGGCATTACACTGAATGAGTACAAATGTAGCAATTTTCAAATTATTCATTACATCAAGTTTGGAGATCATTGCAACTTACTTTCTTGCCAACAACGACTTCTTGTCAACGAAATCTATCCGAGATTGATATCAATGATAGCGTACTTGATTGCAATATTATATGTCATTATACTCTTGATTGTCACCCAATTGTTACTTGTGCCAAATTTGAGCGTGAACAAACTAATGGCGTTGTTGTAGGTTTCACCTTTCGCATGCCATTGCATTCATTGGATTATGATTTCAATGATATCATTGTCAATGATGTAGATTCTATGATATTAGCATATGTACCGGTCGAGATGGTCAAAGTTATTTGAGGATTTTGAATTTTGTAAGTCAGAGTTTGACCCCCGCCCCATAATCGCCACTTACTCTAAAAATTTAGCAATATGTTGAGTGATATGTGAATGGACATTATGTGACGAGTTTCACATTTAGCTCAGCTTCTAATGTTCAATTCTCTATTCCCAGGTATGTTACAATGGGACGCTACAGATTACTCCTAATCTGCATGACTATTCCACATCTCATTATATCTCGAATGTTTTGTTGAACCACAAGTATCACTACGATCGGACACACCGTTGTGATAAGATGTGAGAGTGTAGGGTGAGATGACTGAGAACATTCCTGGGTAAGGATTATCATTTGAAGTCAAACGTATCGTTAGTACAGTCGTCAGTTGTTTCATGTTTCGATCGCTTTCAAATCTTTAAAGTGTATATGATCTGACCAGTTTCTTGGGGTACATATAGAAAAGAGGCAACAGACTTTGTATGCCACACAGCAATTATCGTGTGCACGTAGTTGTGTGATCTAACGTTCCAACTGGAACATGGACCGTCTGCGTGTAACTTGGATCTGCTGAGACTATCGTTTTCTTATTTCTGACAGTAGGTCAACGGCGTTTACAGTAATCTTACGGGCATTGTTTGCAGCGGTTAGTTTTTGCGCATATTCGCATGCTCCCATCGTGTTCAGAGAATTTAACAATATCTGCGAATCGTTGCTTGAAGACACATGGTATCTACCTGTTCTCACCTAGACTTATTCCTCTACAATCTATATTACAAGCCACCTCTTTTCAAGAAATGATACGGGCCGAGATGTTCATAATCTTCTACCGTCTAAGCGAAAAACAACCAAATCTATCGCTAACTACACTAGAATTTTCGGTCCATCACTCCGTCTTCACAACTGTCTCCTGTGAAGTTACCTGGGACCTTATATCCGGTGGAAAGATGCCGAAAGTATATATAAGATTCATAGAACAACCAGGCCCCTCAACTAGAGAATTCAGGTTATAACGACCTCATCAAATAATGTTCGTGACAAAATGTTTACCTACAATACTTCCCTGTCGTATCTCAAGTTTCTGAAAATTATGCCACTGCTTCCTACAATCCCACCTTTTCATACAACTTAACTGATCAACCCAGCCATGACCATAGTTTGGTCGAATTAACAGTTCAGTCAAAAAAAACTTAACGAAAGCATGACCATCAGTTGAAAATTGGACTCTGAGAGGATCGAAGTAGATCAGGTTCCTATATACAATCTCACATGAGCTTTCCGGCTATTTGAAAGCTCACTCTACTAGATTAATACACCAGGCGAGGAAAAAGAGTTCATGATACCAAATCTTTGAGCAGAATGTGAGGCACTAATTACATTGACCTCTCAATTCTGTAGTATTAAAAAAGGCCTTGAGGGCAAAAGAACGCAGATCTTACAGTTGTAGCCAAGGACAAAATTTTCCATGCGAGAATCAATCATGGGCAAGGTATATTGGAATGTGTCGAGTACTAAATCCAACACAAAGATTTGACTCGCCCCCTATAGAAGATCTTTACATGACATGTATCTATCACGAATTAGAGAGAGCATAAGCTCAAAGTTTAGTCAAAGAGTGAGAAACCCATATCATCGTCACTCTCCTCCTTCTCTTCAACCTTCTTCTCCTCCTCTGCTGCAGGAGCAGCTGCTGCAGCTGCACCACCAGCTGAAGCACCTCCTCCGCTGGAGACGAAGCCGCCACCACCACCTCCTCCACCAAGAACAACCTGCTCGGAATGTCCACAGCTTAGTACATCAGTCTCACGTGCTGATTGCTATGATTACCAGTTCACGCAGGAGCGCAAAATGAAAAAGAAGAGGCAATGTATTTCAAACGAGACGAAGCGCACAGAGAACTTCAAAAGTAAGATCGACAGAGTACAGTAAGCAATGTTCATAGACATAGCCATTCGGCTGGGCAACTTTGTTTCGAGTGGGCACAAGACACAATTATGAACAGTAGCTGACATTGAATATTTGATTTTCACTCTACATTCTTTTTTGAGACTTGAACAACGGCATACATCATACATATGCTAATAACGAAGTCTGATTACACATTGCGCTTGAACTGGATATGTAATTGATATAGAGATAAATGTAGTTGTTACTAAAACTTCAAGTTAACTTAGAGTGTTCTTAGAACTAACTACTGAGTTGTTTATTTATATTCAGATCACATGAATTTATGCCTAGAATCTAAATCCTCACAACTACCCGGTGCTCAAAACCGGCTGTGTGCAGGGCAATGACCGGTTTCTCGAATAGGCTATCACATTGACACAATAACAAACTCAGCTGCCTCCATGGACGACTGACTATTCTTCTACAAAATCTTACCTTCTTCTGCCCTCCATAACGGAAACTATGAAAACGGGTCTGACAACGTTCACGAGACGACCTAGATCAATTGAACTGAAAACGTGCAAATTCAACCGTGCTCGGCAGTTACCGACCTGGTAGATGGCTGCGGTGGGGGTGATCATAGAGAAAGTGGAAGAAACGGAGTTGGGTCCGCCGGTCTCCAAAGCGAGGTTGGTGAGTTTCCTCTGCAATTCGAATGCGCTGGGAGCGCTGGACTCCAAATTGTGCTCACCAGCGTGCTGCTTGGCGCTCCATGATTCACCGGACTTCTTCACGATGAAGGTGAAGACGGCCATCTTCTCCAATTTCCTGTCACTGCTGTAGGTACGGAGCTCTCACCTAACGAAACCTCAAATCGGAGTTTTTTCTCTACGAGATGGAAAAGGACTGGAGCCAAACTCGCGGCGCCCTTTTCTTCCGCACAACACTGACTCCCTCATTAGGGTTTCCACGACCCCCTCTCGAGCCCTTCCGTCCATAGGGTTCCAGTTCCAAACGTTCACTGACGGAAACCATGTTCACAGTCGTAAGTTTTATCACTAAGAATGTAAACTGACATGAAGGGAGTAACAAATATTAAAAAAATGGGGAGACCTCATCAAGTCATACATTCGGGTATAAAGAAAACAAACGGGTAAGAAAGCTATCAGAGTGGGAAATGTCTTTGCCTGCACACATAACCTAGCATCCTAACCACGTTGTGATCTGGTTGCGGCCTTCAGGCCGCAATAGTTCTTGCCGCATATCTACCCAGGAATTTCTGAAATGACAGTTCTGAACTTTATTCACATAGTTTGAAACGAAACTCATGGTATCTGTGAAGTAAAATGTGGTCAAATATGAGGTTTACTCCTTCAGAATTTCTATCCTGTGTTTTGCTTTTTTTCCTATCTCTCCTCCTTCCTATCATCTGAAAAACTATGGTTATATTTGTGAATTTCCATATCAATGACTGAACGATAAATTTCCCGTCAAAACTAAAGAATATGTGAATATAAAATAGTGAGAATATTAAATTTTGTGTATATTTTCTGCCCACAAAATTTCAACAATACGCTTCGTTTGGCTTGATTTAAATACTTTTCGCCCGAAGATAGTGATGGAACTCATGAATGATACCAAAGAAGGAATATTCGTCCCAGAACTAAAGTGGATACCGAGTCTCGGTGACATGAGATGCGCAGCCTACGCAGTTAACATCTTCTCGCCTCCCACGAACAAACGTGGTCTGGGCGAAGGACATATTAGATACAGGGTGTCCTCGTTCTAGATGACTAAAGATCGTGCAAGATCTGAACGGGAAATCTTAAACCCCGAAGCCAGCGTACATACATGCATCATTAAGGTGACCATTCCTAGAGTATAAAGGAAGGCCTTGCCGCTTAAGAGATGTTTAGTTATAGGTTGTCGCACACAAATGATTAAAATACAAACCAAGGACAAAAAGGAAGACCCACCATGGAGTCCTATGGGGATGAAACCAAACCTAATTCCACTAGCTTGCATCTGGTCTGCGATGCCCAGAGTTTGAAATGATCCGACATTCTCTTAGATTCTCGAACTATTGCTCCCGCTCCCGGACGTGAGTTATTAATAAACCCAGGGCGAGCGAAAGCGAATCCCCCGAATGCCTGTTCTATAGTGGGACTTGGGGAGAGTTACTTGTCTGGTTAGAGATGAGGGTTGTGGAGGCCAATGGTCGTCATCAGACACAGATTAGCGGCCAAAATCACGAGGAAAATGACCGCAAAGTCCACTAAAAGGACGTCCTTTGAGAAAAACGGCCGGGCACAGTGACCTGGCCGCGAAGTGGAACCACCGGGGTCTGACCTGGAGAGTTAGATGTCGCGGCAGGTCAGGTTCTCCTTGTCGGCATGGCAGCCGAGTATAAGAAGCCCGTGCTGTGGCGACTCGATCAGGACAGGCCAAAGCATTTCTGATCCTGCTCTGCGTCATCGAATGCGCTGGAAATGCCGCAAGTCTGAGAGCCCCGCGACGACATTCAAGATCTCGAGGCCGTTGCCTGTTTGACTCGGATGTGATTCCTGAATTGCAGGTGATTGTCATAACAGATTTCCATCTTTGGGTCGTTCTGTTGATGGTCCGAATGGCTTTTGATGCTCTTTTGAATGAGATGATGTACTGAGTCGCCCCACTTGAAATTTCGAATTCTCCTGTTTGTGGATTAGTTTAGTAGGTTCGTTTCGTGGGTTAGGGTGAGACCGAGGGAGACAATGAATCTCTCGGACTTCAGACTTATCCAAATCTGATGCATGTCCCATTCTCGAGATCAGTTTGATTCTTCGATCGCTAGTACAAGTACCGACGCCGTCGCAAACTCCCAGCGGTTGCATCTATTCACTAGTTCTTCCTTCCTGTTCTGATCTTCTGACTTTATGTCAGTTTGGCTGTTCCTTTGAATGTCTTCCACTCCATCTTCGTTCGATTCATGGTGAATTGCACACCCTTTTCGGTAAATTGACTTGAAACTGGTGGATACTGCTCTTGGATTCTCTCCCTATTTGGATTTACTGATCCGAACGTGCGTTGCTAGTATAGTATCTTGGGATTTGCATCGGTAGCTCGTGTCTGTCAGTCGATCTTGTACATGTTGTTTTCCAGACCAAACCAAATCCGCCGAAGCTTCTTCGTGTCTATTCTTCTTCCACATCGCAGTTCCCAGTGGTCGACCCGTTGACTTTCTTCTGATTGGCTGTAGACAACCAGCATCACTCTAGTTAATTTGCTCTCTCGGAAAGCACGTTTGCGGTTGGACTTTCATGGCCTGGATTTGGGAGATGAACTGTAACATCATTCTTGAAGTGAAGGACTTGTATCGCAGACTTAGTTCATTTAGGAGAAGTGAGAAATGTTCGTGCTGGACTCCTTGACAGAAACATTTCAAAGAAATCACGTGTTATTGATCTTGGTTCTTGCAGGGTGACAGCACGGGCAAGCACGAGACGGGCATGAGCACTGTTTGAGAGAGCTTCCAGCGTCCAACAAGTCCACAAAATGTTGCTGGTGGGGTGCATGCTCTGCAACTTTGCCATGTTGGTCCTTTCAATCGGGTGTCTGACATGGTGCGCTGCGTGGGTGGAAGTTTTCGCTCTCATTTCGCACCAGATGGATGATTAATGGTGGTTCTTTCAGGCCACTGAAAAAATAACCTTGCTGCTCACTCTTTCAACTGCTCTTCCAATGAATATATCAGCCATAATAGAATATCATTCGGACTACTGCGACTTCGAGGCGCATCTTCAGAACGTCCAGAACACAGCTCAAGGATTAAGTGGATGATCATGAGGTTTCCTATTTCTAGAATTCCACTTCGCGTCCATCTCGACGGATTCATCACAAAGAGCTTGACATTGGAAGCCATTTTTATTACCAGCGGGTGAGCAGTAAGGTGGCTCAATTCCATAAGGACCCAACGCACTGATATCTGTAGGGGTTGCACAACACACCTTTGGTAGTCGAGAGGCCATGCCTACTGCCGGTGACCGTGGTCTCGTTTAGGATTTTGAGAATCTACAAGTATGACAACGGCATGTTGCAGATGTTCATACACGTTTTTAGTTGAAGGAGCCCTCGACGAAAATGACCTCGCCCTTGCACAATTAGGATACTGTAAATTAGCAGGACAACAGATCTCAAACCATTTGTATATAATTATCTGCGAAGAAATACAATCTTCTCCACCACGTTGTCTGATAGACTCAATGTTTTATGATCTTATGTGGACGATGCCTGGATTTCAAAACAGCCACTACATACCCATGTCAGAGACAACGCAGCAACTATCTGTAGTATCATGATTGTGGACAGCACGTGTCGTGTAAAATCGATGACCTTATTCTCATGCGAGAGACTCGTCGAGACCAATCCACTCAAACTAATAGTTGCCACGTACCGTCCTGTCTTCCTATGCTCCTTTCGACCCCACCTTAGGTAAAAAACCTGACGTAGATACATACGGTGTAAACCACAAAGACTGCAAAGATTCTGCGAGCATTTGACCAGTTCGTACCGCGGCACATCGCATGCTACAACTTCCAGACGGGCGTCCATGAGTCGTCAACGTGAGTTACTTTTCCCGATGGTTTACAGGTAAAATTTTACCATTAAATGTACAGGTGGAGCAAACCTGTCCTGCGTACCTGTCATACAATACTACCCAGTATTGACTCACCATCAACGCTGGAGCAGATATTACGAACCTTGACAACGTGGGGGATAGCACCTGCCATGAAGAGATCTTCACTCATGCGATATCAAGCGATAAGCCACTGCAACACCTCTCTCATCTCTCCTCATCGACATTAAATGGACGAAGTGGATCGTAGACTGACAGCGGAGCGGACGGCTCTTTACCTTGGACCTTCTCAGTTTCTACCCACTGGCATCTTGTAAGAAAGGGAGCAAGAAGGCTAGGACACAAAATATTCGATCTGTCATGAAAAGAAGTTATGTCACCTACGAAGAAGTAAGCTCACAAGCTTCTGGTCGCCTGCAGCTTTAAAATCGCCTTCAGCTCTCACTTACCCGGCAGTTCCTTGTCTTGTGATCAATTTGTAATAAGAAACTCAGTTGATGTTGCGCGGTAAGGGAACAGAACCTTCATAAGAATTCCTACTATCTGGACGCGGCAACCAGAGATGGCTTTTTACTCGAATCTGAGGCAGCAGTCCATGTGCCACAGTGTGATTCTATGACGTGTTGTGTTATCGGACTCAGAGTTAGACACGTATCTGATCATTATACATGTGATAAGTTGCAAGGTTCTCCGCATCCATTCGATCCAACGAGCTCTCGGTCTCGACTTCAAAAGAATATTATTGCCCGAAGACCCCTCTCTTCGTCCTTTTGCCACTGTTCCCTGCCCTGTCTGTTCCATAATAGTTCCGGTCCTTGCGGACTTGCTTAATTTCAGTGATTACAATTCAAACATGTTCACAGCTGGATGTAATGAATCATCGAGTGCAACAAGTATGCAATCAGACATCACTGATGTCTGATGTCTGCTTGTCAAGCAGATCTTGATGTGACATCGGAGATCTATTTGAGAGTCTTCTATTCATGTCACTCAGAGAAAATTAATCTCGGTCGCAAGTAAATACTTGAACTCTTTGACGCAAGCACACTCGAAGGTCCAGGTGGTTGTAAGCAAATTCATTAAGAACTTATGTGCAGAACATGGTTTGCATCACTTTTCCACCAACCGATTCTTTCTTTTGAGGACCTGACTGTCGGCTTGAGTGCGCGCGTCATAATTACTGCTTGTTGAGAAGGGCTCCAGTCTTTGATAAAAACAACAACTTCCTTGGCAGTCGTTGATCAGGTCGTCAATCAAAACTCTAGTCACATGCTCCGTTGTATAAGCACGAATGATGTAGTCCGCTTTAATTTCCCGTAGTC